TGGTTTTCGCAAGTGCCGCAGCACAACAGATGTCCTGGTGAACTTGGAGGTCTATATTCGTACTGCTTTTGCTGCGAAGACCTCCGTTGTTGCCGTCCTTTTTGACCTGGAAAAGGCTTACGACACTACCTGGCGGTATCATATTCTGTCTCAACTTCATTCTTTTGGCCTTCGTGGGAACCTCCCTCTCTTCCTCCGGAGCTTCCTCTCTCGTCGTTCCTTTCGTGTGCGGCTTGGTACTGCTCTCTCTGCCCCTTTTCAGCAGTATGAGGGTGTACCCCAGGGTAGTGTTCTGAGCACTACTCTTTTTCTAGTTGCCCTCAACGGTCTTCTTTCCTCTCTTCCTTCTGGCGTCTTCTCTGCTCTCTATGTTGATGATCTTACCCTTTGCTGTCGGGGTGATGATTCCCCTCTCCTTCAACAGCGGCTTCAACTTGCGATTGATGCCGTGTCGTCTTGGGCCACCGATCATGGCTTCAAGTTCTCTGCGTCTAAGACTTGTGCTATGACTTTTACTCGGAAGCATGTCGTTCTTCGTCCCTCTTTGTCGCTTTATGGTCATCCCATTGTGTACAGGGATTCCGCGAAGCTTTTGGGGTTAGTCTTTGACACTCGTTTGTCTTGGTCAGCCCATATCTCTTACCTCCGAGTTGAATGCTCTAAGGCCCTTAACCTCCTTAAGGTTTTGTCCCATACTTCTTGGGGAGCGGATAGGCGCACGCTCCTCTATTTGCACTCCTCTCTCGTCCTGTCTAAACTCGATTATGGTTGCCCTGCATACTCTTCTGCTTCTCCTTCTACTCTTCGCCGTCTTGATGCTTTGCACCATACTGGGTTGCGTCTCAGCTCTGGTGCCTTTCGTTCGACTCCCGCCCTTAGTTTGTATGTTGACACTGGCTTTCTCTCTCTTCAGGACCGCCGTGATCGCTACTGTCTTCGCTATCTTGCGCGGTCCTTCCAACATCCTTCCTCTCGCCTCTGTCGTGCATTGACTTTTCCTCCTCCTGTGGTTCCTGTTCCTCTTCATTGTCTCCCACTTTCTGTCCGGTTATCTCGCTTACAGGATTCTCTTTCTGTTCATATTTCTAATGTTTCTCCTCGTATTGTTCCTTCCTTACCTCCGTGGAGAGTCCCCCTTCCCAAGTTTTGTACGTCCTTGACTTGTATTACTAAAGCCTTTACCCCTCCTACTATTCTGAAAAGCCTCTTCCTTGAGCACTTTTCTTCGCACTCCCACTCTATTTCCATCTTCACTGATGGGTCTAAGTCTGCGGACGGTGTGGGCTACTCTGTTGTTTTTCCTGACCGTACTTATATGTGTCGCCTCCCTTCGGAGGCTAGCGTCTTTACGGCAGAACTTTATGCTATTCTCTATGCTCTTCGTCTCTTGCTTTCTCATTCTCATTCCTCCTTTGTGGTTGTAGTTGATTCTCGTAGTGCCCTCATGGCTCTAGGGTCCTTTAATCCTGTCCATCCGGTGGTCATCGAGATTCAACATTGGCTGTTTCTTATTTCTAGTAAATTTAAATCAGTAGAGTTTTGCTGGGTTCCCAGCCATATTGGTGTTTCTTTCAATGAGCGTGCGGATGCTGCCGCTAAGGAAGCTATCCGTTCTTGTCCCATCTCCCGTAAAAGTATTCCTTATTCCGACTTTTATCCTGTTATTCATTCTTCCATTCTTGCCCGTTGGCAGGGTTGTTGGTCCTCTGTGGTTGGTAACAAGCTGCGTACTCTCAAACGTAGTGTGTCCCCGTGGCCTTCCTCCTACCACCGTAACCGGCGGTGGGAAACTGCTTTGGCACGGCTGCGGGTTGGTCATACCCGCTTAACCCACGGTCACTTAATGGAGCGCCGCCCTGCTCCTTATTGTCCGAATTGCGTTGTCCCTCTTACAGTTGTGCATATCCTTGTTGAATGTCCTGACTTCCAGGACGAGCGTGTGTCTTGCTTTCCGACCGTCCCTCGCGGTCACTTGTCCCTCGATAGAATTCTAGGTGAATCGGATACTTTTGATATCGTTCGCCTTATGCGTTTTTGTTCTCGTATTGGCATTCTTGGTGATATTTAGCGCCCTCTGATTATTTCGCACTTTGATGGTGCTACATAGCCTTCCCGGTTTGGTGCCTTCTTTTGATAATTACCTTACAAACTTGTCCACAGTACAAAGGATACAAATCAGTTCCATGCAGTAAGCTTTCTATATGAATGAAATGTCCTTTACACTTAACTGATGGCATTTTAGACATTTGAAAGCATATTAGTTAATACCTTCATGAAAGTTCAGGTTGGGCAGCGAGTAATATTAGTGATTTATTGTGAGAAAAAGTGCTTAGTTGAATAATGGCATAATTAAAGATTACCCAAGCCAAATAAGGCAGATTGCTCATGAATGCAGTGTTGGGAATGCCGCACAACATACGTACACACATACATATGCCGAAAGAGCAAAGCTCAACCCCCGCAAACACAACTAGGTGAATACATACATACACACATACATATGCCGAAAGAGCAAAGCTCAACCCCCGCAAACACAACTAGGTAAATACATACGTACACACATACATACACACACACCAAAATGAACAATAGTCACACGTGGACAAGATGACACTTGCTACCTGTACCTAAACATGGAGATGTAACAAAAAACTACAGCCTTTGCAATTGCTCTTTCCTGAAATAGCAATAGGCATTAATACAAGTATGGTACAAAGATCCTATACATCAACGGGCATTAGTTAAGAACAACAGTCCTGCCAAATGGCTCCCACCTTGGCAGCCAAGGAAGATCAATTGGGATGGTGTTATGAGCCATAACATCTATAACCACCCAACCTCTTTCCTAACCTTCCCTGGAACGAAGACCACAAGAGTCGCTGGTGGAGTAGCGGTAACGCACCTGCCCCACGAGCGGTTTGGCTTAGATCCGTATCCTGCACACCTCTGTCCACCAGCAGTTATTGGATACCTGGTTGTTAAATGATTGGCGGGTCGTATTCCAGGGAAGCTAGTGGGTAAGACTTACCATGAACTATGGGATGGGAAAGCTCTCAGCCTGCTAATGGGAATCAGCAGTCACCTGTTCCTGTGTACAAAAAAAAAAAAAAAACACTACTTTGTTATACTTATGTAAAAAAAAAAAAAAAAAAAGGCTATGGTGGGACAATAGGTTACATTCTTAACCTTTGACAGGTTACTAAAAGCAAAAGAAAAAAAAATGTGGCTTTAGAGTTCCCAGTCACTTACCAAACAAAAAAGACTCACACAAGCATGAACCACTTGTATACTATCTTCCACCTGTGACATGCCCAAGTCTTGACTTCCATGTAGTGGATTCTGTCTTGCTGCGAGGTATCAAGAGTGCTATTTTGACCTACATTACACACACACACAAATACTGTTCCCCATTTATGTAAACGAATTGACTGCAGGAGTTTAGTCTTATTAGTTGATGTTTGCAGATGATGCAAAGCTAATGAAGGGGGTTGAAACAGATGAGGATTGTAAGAGATTCTCCAAGATGACCTGAACAGGTTGCAGAGCTGGTCCGAGAAATGGCTGCTAGAGTTCAACGCTAGCAAGTGAAAGGCGATGGAAATGGGATCAGAAGTCAGGAGATCAAAAGGCCAATACACAATGAAGGGAAACTACCTTCCTATAACAACTAGAGAAAAATACCTGGCAGTGACCATAACACTAAACCTAACTTCAGAGGCTCATATAACTAGAATAATTTCAGCTGCATATTCTACACTGGCATGAGTCAGAACATCCTTCAGAAACTTGAATATGGAGGCTTTTAGATCACAGTATACCACTTAAGTGAGGCCAGTCTTAGAGTATGCCACCCCATCGTGGAGCCTTCATCTTAAAGAAATATACAAGGAAGTTTGGAAGGGTACAGAAGTTTGCAATGAGACGTGTCCCAGAGCTGCGAAGGATAAGATACAAAGAGAGACTGAAGGAACTAAACCTGACCATGTTAGAAAGGAGGAGGGACAGGGGTGACATGATACAGATGTATAAAATACTTAAGAGAAATTGACAGGGTGGAAACAGAGGAAATGTTTACAATTAATAACAATAAATAGAACAAGGGGGGGGGGGGTAACAGATGGAAGGATTAGACTCAGATGTGTCATAGAGATGTTAGAAAGTTTTCTTTTAGCATAAAGGTAGTCAGTAAAAGGAATGACCTAAAGGAGCAGGTTGTAGAGGCTAACTCCATTTGTAACTTTAAAAGCAGATATGATAGGAAAATAGGCCAGGAGTAATGGCAGTAGACAACCAACGGCTAGAGAAGCAGAGTCCAAGAACTAGAACTCAGTCTTGCAGGCACAAATAGGTGAATACACACTATCAACAATCAACAAATATCAACAATACACAATCAACTGCCAGTTGATTGATGGTTGAGAGGCGGGACCAAAGAGCCAGAGCTCAACCCCCGCAAGCACAACTTGGCGAGTACAACTAGGTGAGTACGCACTTATAATGGTGAGCTCACCACCGATCCTCACTAAGGTGACTTTTACCCGAGTCACAAACAGGTTTTCCCGCCTCCCCTACAGTACGTCACCGCCTGGAACACCTGACCTAACATGAGCATGCCACACACCACTTTATAGATCTTCATATACAGGGTCAATTGTTCACGGAGGTTATACACTACGACATGAGATCCTGAGCCATCGGCTCTATAGCCATCATATTATGGATAAGCTGAAAGTCTCCAGTCAGCTTACATGCGGGCTTCCTGTGTCATCAGCTTAGTCGTGGTTCGGCTAGCCAATGAATAACAAGCATCACATTTAAACTACCCGTGTGCTGTTGGCTTCCCAAAGGAGGAAATTATGACAAGTATTAAGGAATGTTAAGTAATTTATTGTTAGCCTTTATGTTAGTTCATTCATTTCTGTAAGAGTGAATCAAATTGAAAGGGTATGCAAGTGCTAATTCAACATGCAGATGTCTAAAAATAGTGCATTTATTTCCAGGTATTCCCGACTTTCGTACACCTGGCACAGGACTTTACAGCAATCTGGAGAAGTATAATTTGCCGTATCCAGAATCTATCTTTGACATAGAATATTTTAAAAGCAATCCAAAGCCTTTCTTTGTTTTGGCTAAGGAATTGTACCCTGGTACGTTCAACCCCACACCGTCTCACTGGTTTGTCCGCCTGCTTCACGACAAAGGAGTACTTCTCAGACACTACACGCAGGTCAGCCAATCAAGTGGCAATAAATGCTTGCCATCGATCTTTTTTTTTTTTTTTTTTTTTTAATTTAGTTAAACCAAATTTTACATTAAATGAGCAATTTTAATAAACAATAACACTGAAAAATAAAAATAACCATTTTCAAGTGCTTCAGATTTAGTTATGGCCATGACGAAATACATATACGCTATTAGCACCAACAATTTAAAATGGGAGCAAATTTAATCACTAGATATCTGGGCCAGAACCCCCCCCACCACCACCACCACCACCACCCCACACACACACACACACACACACACACACACACACACACACACACACACACACACACACACACACACACACACACACACACACACACACACACACACACACACACACACACACACACACACACACACACACACACACACACACACACACACCTCTATTTGCTTCCCTTGATCCATAGTCATGGGTCAACCCAGGTTCTCACAACTCACCTCAGGTTCCGAGTGACTGAGCTTTGAGGTGCTGGTGTTGCTTGTGTGTTCTGTATTTTAATGTCTGCTTCATATGAGTGTGTATCTATGCCTCGCTCCTTGTGTGTACTCTTGATTCTTGAGGTTATCTTGAGATGATTTCGGGGTTTTAGTGTCCCTGCGGCCCGGTCCTCGACCAGGCCTCCACCCCGAGGATGCATCCCGTGACAGCTGACTAACACTCAGGTACCTATTTTACTGCTAGATAACAAGGGCATAGGGTGAAAGAAACTCTGCCCATTGTTTCTCGCCGGCGCCCGGGATCGAACCCGGGACCACAGGATCACAAGTCCAGTGTGCTGTCCGCTCGGCCGACCGGCTCCCATTAACCGTTCACCTCTAACTGTGTGTGCCTTGAGTGATCATATCTCCCTTGGACTCTTATTTTTCAATCCCAGGTGGTGGGCGAGGATGCTGACTCTGCCCCAGGTGGAGGAGGGCCCTTAACTGTAGCTTCCAGTATTTAGGGGAGTCAGATATGAGCTCTTGGGTCCTATTTGACTATTTGGTTCCTGGTTCTCTAAGGAGGGCCTCCATTTGCAGGGGGAAGGGGTTTTCATATCCTCCCTTCCCCCTATATGATTTGGTTCAGTTCAGTGTGTCATTGGGCACATTAAAATCGTCCTTCCAGAGGTTTCTTTCCTCTTGGGTCCCTCCTTCAGCGGCTTAGAAGGCTCTCTTTAGCACCTCTTGTGGGATCCGTATTATGCCTCATTGATGATCCCTCTCTCTTCTTGGGTTTTGGTCGTCTTCTCTTTATTGGTTGAATTACAAGGTTCCCAAGTCTTCCTGGCTGGCAGACAATTCCTTGTTCTCACTTGGTACTTAGTGCAGCTTTGTTGTACTTACACACTAGATTGCTGTGAGGTGTTTACCATGTGGCAGGCTTTTCTGTGGCCTTTCTTTTGCACCTCTCAATGATAGCCATCAGGATGTGGGTCTCATGCAGCTCTATGCCCAGTTCCTCTGTTGTCAGTGGTGCTTGTGGCACATGACCTTCACGGTCATCTGCATTTGTGTTCCATCGTGTGTTTCTTAGGTCTCCTCGAGCTACATACCGATTGGCTCAGAGAACATGGGTGTGCTCTGGGAAGCGAATCTTGGCATCCTCTGTTGCTGCATCAATTGAGCTCCCAAGCTGTATGCACCTGTGCTCTGAGAGGTACAGGTAGTGACCATCTTCTTTGCTACCCAACTCGCTTATCTAAATTGGGTGTGTCGGCCCATCCTATAAATTTAGTGTGGTCCCTTGCCCTCCTGTCAGCCTCTCCCTTTTCTCTTCTCTTTCCTGAGGATGTGGTTGCTCAGTTTCTTTCTGCGGCAACTGTGGTTTGTTGGTCCATTTCAGACCATTTCTGTTTTTTGGGTTTTCGTTCTTGTTCTTCGAGGCAGCAGGGTAGAGCTGGGTCATTCTCCTGCTGTTGCCAAGCTAGGCCATCTGTGGAGTCAGATGCCTGGTCACAAGTGTTTCACTTGGCCAGTCCTTCTCTGTCTGGTTAGCACTGAGCTCACTCTTTTTGGAAGGCACCAGATATTCGTAGTTTCCTCCAGCCCTTTCACGGTTTGCTCCTTTGACAGGGAGGTGGGGAGGGGCTGTCCCAGTTTCCTGGCTTTTGGTCCCATGATTCATGGGCTTTTCGGATCATCTTCCATGGCCGAGATGGTGTTGGTCGGTTCCTCCCCCTTCCCAGGGTTCAGGTCCTGTCAGAGTGGGTGGCTTCCAGCGATGTGGTCTTTTCGACCACATCGGTTCTGCAGGTTTCTTGCCTCTTCCTGGGCCTGACACAGAATTCCCCAGATCTCCGGTTCATCCTCATCCTTCCACAGCCAGCTCTTCCCTTCCTAGCGGAGAACGAGACAGTTGACTTACAGAGGGGTCCTTTTGTCACTGATACTTGGTTGATTCAGTCAGGGTATGCATGATGTGTGGCATCCAGTGATGGCTCTCCGCCACTACCTTCATGCCACCGATTCTGCTTCGGTGGATGCCTTCTTAGGCTTTGGGCTTTGTCTCTTGGCCGGGAGGTCTCATCTTTGTCATGACTCCAGCAGTACTTCCTCCTCCCTGATGAGGTTCCCATGTGTTTTCTTTCTCTGTGGGTAGTAAGCTTCATGAAGCCACAAGGGGGTTACCCCACTCAGAAAACTAGTGTTGAATGTAATGAAACTCGAATTTATGGGTGAGCCCTTGAGGTGCTCTGCCCTCCCTCCCAGGTCACTGGGTAGATGGCCAACATCTGGTCCCGAGCTGGGAGCTCAAACCATGGCAGGCAGTAAGCTACCTCTCCTCCTCTCTCCAAACAAGTGGGGAAGGTGGGGTGAATAGGCTCTTGCTAGTTAATTAAGAGAATATTTGATCATTTGTTTACATAGTTGTGGGGGGGTTTCTTTAGGCGGGTTTCAAGGGTTTGGTCTCTTGAATCCAGCCGTGAAAATTAAATAAATATCACTGCTCCCTGTGCCTCTGTGAAGGGGGTGGGAGTGGCAGGTTCTGGTCCCTCAGTAGGTCTATAATACTCCATGGCTGATGCTACCTAGTAGAGGGTAGCAGCTCAGTGTGTATTGGCTCCAGGGAGCCACCGTGGCTCACCCAGAAATTGGTATTTCTATACATTCAGTGTTGGTTGTTTTTTTATGTACTATATCTTATAATAAATAAATATACACATATACATTATATATATAAAATACTGTATACATATGTTGAGATGCTTGTATATGATTACATTAGGAATTTTCAGTAGTCTTCTGTGTTGCAATCCTCTGCTCCTTTAGCTTTGTACTTTAATTTGTACAGTCTGGCACTTGTTTCTAAAATAAATTATCAACAAAGAAGCTGAGGCTAATTATGTTCATAATAATTAAAAAAAAAAAAGTTTAATGGGATAAACATGTCAAATAACTAAACATGTAATAAACAAATTTGTGAAGTGACCGTATTTTCACAGAATATTGACACTTTGGAACATGTAGCGGGACTCCCTGCCGAGAAAACAGTGGAGGCTCATGGTACTTTTCGAACCTCGCATTGCATTGCATGCCGAAAGGAATACAGCCAAGAGTGGATGAAAGGTTAGTTTCTGTTTTCTCTTATGTTGTAACCAGAGCAAGTTGACATTGCCTGATTATTATGCACTGTTCTATGTGAAATTATGCACTGTTCTATGTGAAATTATGCACTGTTCTATGTGAAATTATGCACTGTTCTATGTGAAAGATAGCTTTGTATTTCAAGTAAACATTTTTTGCAGAGGAAATCCAGAAGGACAGCATTCCAACCTGTACCGAATGCAGCGGTCTCGTAAAGCCAGACATTGTCTTCTTCCGAGAGAACCTCCCTTCGCGGTTCTTCCAGCTGGTGCAGGCTGACTTCCCACAATGTGATCTGCTTATTATTCTTGGGACATCACTCACTGTCCAACCATTTGCATCACTCATTGACAAGTTAGTAAACAATTTAGATTTTAAGGATATTAGTCATAAGTTACGTAAGATCCGCCAATAATAGGAGATCTAATGGCTTGGTGTGAATTTTTTCTCCTTGCTTATCTAAGTGTAATGACCATTAGTGGGCATCCTGTGTTTTTACAAGTATTATGTTGGCATTGAATAAATTCCCTGTTTGTTTATTCCAGTTCTCGACATCCTATTGCCACAAACACTGAGCTTTATTTAACTTCTTAAAAGACATCTTAAAACTAGCCTTGTTTGCTTTTATAAAACCTGCAAATTAGAAGATTCTGTTTGGAATACAGTATATCAGAGGTTCTCAAACTGATACTTATACCCCTGGTGCACTATTGTTTTATGATCCAAGGTTGCTTTAGTTAGTTAGCGAGTGTGTAATTTCCTAAATGTAGTTACAGGATGAGAGCTATGCTCGTGGTGTCCCGTCTTCTGAGTATTCTTTGTTGTATGACGTTTCGAAACTACCAACAGTTTTGGCATCCACCACCACCACCTCACGTAACTTGTCCCACCCGTCTATCATTTTGATTGCAAAAGGGAATTTTCTTATTTTTTGGGGGGGCACTTTTGTTTTCTTAGCTCGAGTCTCTGACCTTTTGTTTTTGCAAAAAGTTTACCCTAATCCTCCAGGGATTAGGGTAAATGGAGTGAAGGGTCTTGCCTTTTAGATACTTACCTAACCCTAAATGGCATTAGGGTGTTATCTTTGACATATTTACCTATTCTTGGAAAATCGCTGACATTTTCCGTTACTGACAGGTGTTCTCCTAAACCTACTATTTTCTCAATTTTTTCCCTTTTCTGTTGCTCTGTCCACCCTAGAAGGTATCTTCTTTTCCAAACATCCAGAAATTATTATAGACTCACTTCTATCTACTGTGCTCTACTAATTTACAGCTAATAACCAGTTTTTCTAATTGCCTGCCTAATGTTAGATCCTGAGTTCTCATTTCTGTTCTGGGCTTCCAGACATACTTGATCATACTTTAGACATACAGACATACTTTAGCTTTTAGAACTTGCTGTGTGTTTCTTTCATTTCCTCTTTGCGCTTTTCCAATCCTCTAGTAACTTCTTCCATTAGAGTTGCCCATGAATTTTATCTTAGAAATTGGCTTGTATAGTTTCTCTTAATTCTTATCTATCTGTCTTATTTTTTCAAATTCATCCCCCTCCCCCCTTCATTTTCCATCTCATATTCTTTCATTTCTCCCTTTATTTGTTCTCCCTGTGTACTTAGCATATCTGTCAAAATGACAACTTCCTGTGTATACTGTGTGTGTGTCTTCTAAATACCTAAATACAGGCATACTGCACATACTGTGTACTGTTTGTGCATAAGTAGCCACTAGGAAACTTAAATGAAAATTACAAACATTTTCTTTTCATTTTCCTAGTGGATATTTATGTATAAACAAATCAAGGTTATACATAACTAGATTTCTTTTGGGGGGAGGGGAGTTATTCTTGCATACTGTGTATGTATACCGTACTGTATACAGTAATTACAATACCTACAGTAATCACGACCAGTACTGGGTAGCACAATGCTTATTAATGGGACACATGATGATTCAATATTAGTAACCTTACTGGTGCACTTTGTAATTATATTATTATTCAAAATAATATGTATTTTTACTGTACAGCATTACTTGTACTTAGCGCTATTTATAAATTTGGCCTCGCGTGTCCCGAACGTGTCCAACCCTAAAGACTAGTATGGCAGTGAGAGGGGTCTCGGAAGTACAGTCGGGTTCGTTCGACTCGCAATTGAGAATTCCGGGTTCGAATCCCGGGCGGGACAGAAATAGTTGTGCACATTTCCTTTCAAATAATAGCCTGTTCACCTAGCAATAATTAGGGACTCAGGAAATAGCTTGTTGTGGGGTTGCATTTTTGGTGGGGGGTCAGTAATTCGATCTTGAGAGGGGGGGGACCTCTATATCAGCCTAACGTTTATGAACACACTCTGGCCTCCTGTCCCCCAACATTTAAAAATTATAACTGATCTCAGTTATATTTTCTGTTCTAGGTGTGGGAATATAATGCTATCATTTAAATTATTTTAAATTTTGTCCTGGAAAAGCGAGTTAATATAATTTGTTTTGTCAATTTATGTCAGTGTCACTCATTTTTTGAGTGAACATATCACCATAGCAGTATGTACAACAGCCCTAAGAGGAAGATAACCTGTTGTGTTGTTCATTTCTGTTGCTTGTACCCAGGTGCAACTGGATTGTTTATCCTATTCCTTACTCCCAGACAGCTGGGTTGTTCTTCCTGCCATTTGTAGGCATGTGCAGCCAAGACTCGGTTAACTGTCACTGATTAGCAGACTGTTTAACAGGGGATTAACACTATCGTTATATTCAGAAGATCTTTACTCCACAAGAATGTTTTTACAGTAAACCACTCACACTGAACAGGTTAATTGGAAAATTGGTATTTATAGTATTTGTATAATGGATTAACTTGAAAGAATATCCTTGACTGAATACAGTATGTACTTACCTAATTGTGCTTGCGGGGGTTGAGCTCTGGCTCTATGGTCCCGCCTCTCAACTGTCAATCAACTAATGTACAGGTTCCCGAGCCTACTGGGCTCTATCATATCTACACTTGAAGCTGTGAATGGAGTCAGCCTCCACCACATCACTTCCTAATGCATTCCATTTTTCCATTTGTCTACTACTCTTGACACTGAAATAATTCTTTCAACGTCTCTATGGCTCATTTGGGCACTCAATTTGCACCTGTGTCCCCTAGTGCGTGTGCCCCTTGTGGTAAATAGCCTGTCTTTATCTACCCTATTATAATTTCCTCTGAGAATCTTGTATGTGGTGATCATGTCCCCTCTAACTCTTCTGTCTCCTAGTGATGCGAGGTTTAATTCCCGTAGTCTCTTCTCGTAGCTCATACCCCTCAGTTCGGGTACTAGTCTGGTGGCACACCTTTGAACCTTTTCCAGTTTAGTCTTATGCTTGACTAGATATAGACTTCATGCTAAAGCTGCATACTCCAGGATTGGTGTGACATATGTGGTATACAAAGTTCTGAAGGATTCCTTACACAAGTTTCTAAAGACGTTCTTATGTTAGCCAACCTGGCATATGCCGCTAATGTTATCCTCTTGATATGAGCTTCAGGGGACAGGTCTGGCATGATATCAACCCCCAGGTCTTTCTCTCTCTCTCTGACTCTTGAGGTATTTTATCTCCCAAATGATAACTTGTATCTGGTTTCCTGCTCCCTACACCTATCTTCATTACATTGCATTTGCTTGGGTTAAACACTAACAACCATTTGTTTGACCATTCCTGCAGCTTGTCCAGGTCTTCTAGAAGCCTCAAGCTGTCCTCCTTTGTCTTAATCCTTCTCATAATTTTGGCGTCGTCAGCAAACATTGAGAAGAATGAGTCTATACCCTCTGGGAGATCATTTACGTATATCAGAAACATGATAGGTCCGAGTAGTATGTATAGACTATAGAGTCAAAACCTTTAAATTAACTTGCCTGTCATCTTGTTTTATAAATTACTAGGCGGAGTACCTGGTGGTGCCCGGGACAGTCTCTCCCCCTCCCTCCCACCATCCCTCATTTTACCCTTCTTTTTCCCCTCTTGTTATATCCCCCCCCCCTTCACTACCCTCTCATCTCCCTCATTTTTTCCCCTTCCCCCTGCTCACCTCATCTCTCTAACTTCCTCCCCCTCCAACCTCAAATAGGTAGACATTTATATTTATGTATAAAGTAACTTGTGAATATGCACAGATTAATGGCAGGAGTAACTTCAACACTACAGACAACACATCCTCGATTTCATCCTATTGCCATTTCAGACTTCATAACAATCGCACCGGGGGGGGGGGGAAGGGTCGAGTTATAGCCAGCATTTCTTAAGACTAGTTTCCTAGTGTAGGGAACTATCGCTGCACTAAGATATGCGATACACCCTAGTTTGAGAACCCCTGGATTAGACTTTTTCTCTGTAAACCTAACCATTTTAGCCCTTTGTATATCTGGAAATCATGCAAGTACTGTACAATGACATTTTGAGTTCATTTTGGATACTAATTGTTTGATCTAGAGCAGTGCTTTGTATTCATTTGGAAAATCAGATACAGTACTGTATTTTATAACTGGTAATATTTTTTTGGTAGCTATAGTTTTATTTTTAACATATTACCACAAAGTTCATACAGATATTTAGATAATTTCAATTTAACAGCGTTCCACCATCATGCCCAAGACTACTCATAAATCGTGAGAAGACCAGTCCCTTGGATCCTATGATGGCAATGCTTCAGGGAACATTTTGTGGCTTTGGCCTTTCTCTAGACTCTCCCAACAACAAGCGTGACGTGGCTATGCTGGGCGACTGTGATGATGGATGCAAAGCCTTGGCAGACATGCTTGGTTGGAAGGTTGGTATCCTTAGAGATTGTTGTTGTTTTCTGTAATTCTCAATAATGTATTATTACTCACATCATTATTATTATGATATTATGGACTTTTGGTTTTATGTTATTATTTACCGTTTTGTTTAAGACATATGAGTGTGTACAGTTGAAAAGACAAACGTTTTATCTTGAACCTCTTGCCCACCTACCCACTCTTATTCCATTTCCCTCTTATGTTCACAGTTTAAAATATAAATAATAAATAAATAAATGTTTATTTAGGTACATAAATGTTTATATAGGTGCAGAGGGTGAGGCATTTTTCTTTCAAAGTATATTCTAAATTTTGTGAGCTATTAATGGCAAAGGAACCGAGTTCTCTCTCTTAATCAGCAACAGCGAGACGTTAAACAATGGGGTAACCACCTTTAACTATACAGTTAATGAGGTGGTCAAGGGAATAGGAAACACATCTATGGGGGGTAACTGAGCAATACCCCCAATGAGTGCAGCGATTGTAATATAACCAAAGACTAGATCCATCAGTAAGAGAGGGAATAGCCACTTTGCTTTCCCTCTGTCAGTACCCCCACTGGATGAGCAAGGTCGACCGATCTACTACTACGTTTATTGTGTCTGGAATTTGGTCTTTAATAATGACTTCACTTTCAGGATGACTTGCAGAAGCTAATGGAGATAAAGAAGTAAAATGAGAAGCTGCAGGCATATCTTCAAAGCTCCATGCAGTGTGTGTGAAGGTGCAGGAATAAGGACTTTCATAGTGGGAATTTTATGTGAATGTTTTAGTTGTAACTCAAAGGAACTTGGAGGAACAAATGAAGTGCAAATTGGAGTTTGACCAAAATATTTTTAAGAACTCGATACTCGAATGGAGTTACATCACAAATATTCATACTAGCTCCTATGGAGTCTATAATTATCCTGTGATATATTGTAGATTAAGTTTAGCTCTTATTTCTCTCATTTCATTGCAAATGAAGAGAGCCTACTTAGTGATATATATAAGGGCATTTTGCTAGACCAGTATCATTAGTATTTTTTCTATTGTGTTGTAGTTTTGCATAAGATGGTGCAGGGTTCCTTTGAAGTCCGAAATATCAATTTCTGGTAAATTTGTTAGCGTATTGTAATTAGTTTTGAATCTCTGAATTCCTGAAAATCTTTTGAACTGTTGGGATTAATATAACAACGTGACAGTTCACGATTTATGACATGCTAAAGTATGTCGAGACGTGCTTTATTATTTTGCTTGTTGAGAACTTTCCATTTAGTCTGCTTTTTTTTGCCTTGTGTATATTTATATAAACAAAAGCCAAACCAATTTGTTTTCAACTCAATAACAGTTCTAAGACCTCGCGAGGAAATTGCAAGGATGTCGATGCATTTTTCTTACATTTTAACAGCCCTTTTATGTGAATTATGTAGATTTTTGAAAACGAATTCTTGTATTGTTAATATAAAAAGATAGATTACATGACAAGAGAGGTAGTTTTATGTAGCTAACATGTACATACAGTAATTAAGAAGAACTGACTTGTGATTATCCAAAGACAGATTTGGATGAATATTAAAACTAATTTATATTGGCATAATAGGATAGCTGAGTATGTACAAAATATTAATATCGAGATTTACTTCAAGATATTTTGATTTTTTGTATCCACTGATGATAAACTGTGGGAGGTAAAAAGACATTGTTAGTTAGTATTTAGATAAACTGAAAGCATGACATTGCTAGTGAATATTTAAGTTCTGTAGATTTCATAGCAATAATTTTTGTTACATATGAAATATGACATGTTAAATATATTAAGATTTTTATATTTTGCCATTAGTGCAAAGGAAAAAAAATAAAGTTTAATAGTTTTTCAAGTACTTATACAGCATGGTACTTCTATAGAACCCAGTGACAGTCAGTTTCACGAGAGGACTTTCATTACGCTTTATGGTTTATATATTAGATTAAGAAATACGAAGGCACTTTATCTCTTGGTGATATAAGGTGCTTCCAGCCCATGAGGTGCAAGATTCCTCCCTTGGCATAAGTGCCAATAGGTCATTATTGTGTAGGTCATACGCCTGGGCCGCAAGAACGCCAAGCCCTGAAAACACCTCAAGGTAACCATACAGAAAACCAGTCATGCATTTTAAACAGAGGCTCCTTACTTAAACTATTAAACCTAGTAAAAAAAAATTTGTTTGCATACATAAACTTATGATTTCTTAACTCATTCTTAAAACCAATCAACTGTTGTCATACGTAGGGTCCCGATTTAAGAAATCACTTATAATCGGTCGCTCGTGTTGCATGATTCAGACTATTGACTAGAGTAACTACTCTCACATTGTTATTTTTGTAAGAAGCTCATGGCATCAGGACTGGTGCCCTTGAATATTATGGAGCTGACGTAAAAGATATTAACTCTTAAGTTAGCAAAAGACTACACTTGACCTAGCTAATCTGTGTTAACCTTGCACTACCTTGGGCACCAATTATCAAAGAGTTCATTCATGTAGTTCAGATAATGGAGCATTTATTAGATTTAAGGAAATGCAGTATAAATGCATAGAATGAATAACGCAGTGTAGCCCTGCTATAATGTTGTAGACAGGTGTCGGGGAAAAGATAGCGTTAATCTACTAATGCGTCATTCCAAGGAGGGCAGCAAGACGTGACTGCAGCTAGCTGGCGCTGGTATAATATTTTCTCAGTTACGCATTCTGGACTTTTATCAGTTCCTCAAATGAGATTTAACACCGATATAAAAGCCATATATAATTAGTTGCATTGTTGTAGATGATTTAGGCTTTTCGGTAATTCAGGATTTTATTAAAAATATACTGTAAATTAATTGCCAAAATTATTAACATGTTGCTGTTTTCTCTGATAACACGACAAATCTTTGCTTGTTAAAATATTTTAATATTGTTTGCCAACTGGCCTCCATAGTGATTGGCCTCGTGTAGTGATTGATTGGCCTCGTGTAGTGATTGATTGGCCTCGTGTAGTGATTGATTGGCCTCGTGTAGTGAGTGATTGGCCTCACATAGCATTTGATTGGTCTTATTTAACAAAATAATATGCCTAACTTTGTTCAGTGCCACTATAATATGCTATTACTTGCTTAACATTAAAGTCATCTTGTAATTATAATCTCAAAAATAACATCAGGCTTCGTATCTAATTGATAATGATTTCCTGTGTTTATATAGTATTGCAGTATGAATACTGTTTTGGAACAATGTACTGGCAAGGTGGTCCAAGTCAAGCACTAGAGACAACTCGTAATTGGATAAAAATGCTATAAAAAGTATTGACGGTGATGTGCCTTGTTTCACAGTATGTGCTTATAAATTGTTAGAAAGATTGTAACTTAACATTCGCTTTGCTAAATTAGTGTGTTTATCCTTTGATAATTTTGTATTATAACAGAAATAATGTAGTACATAATTGATGTTAGTCATTCATTTAGTGAAGGATTATTTCACTAAGTGACGTATAAGCTTGCCCGGTATATGAGCGCGAGCAATACAGGACTAACAAATGCCAGTGCCTTTAACGTGTCACGTACTTAATTAGAGCTATAATTAGTACACACAATTTTTTTATTTTAATCTTTAATTCTAAACACAACACTTAAACATTACTGGTGCATTAAAAAACCTTTATAAAAAAACAAGCTTAAAGTTGCTAGAGCTAAAGGGGTTCACACACACTTAAACCGTCATATGCCGTGATCAACACGAGAGTATTGTGTCAAAATTTGTCATTCTGAGAAATGTCTTAGTGAGGCTACATTGTGTAATTGTGCTTTAAAACTAACAAATAAATTGAATGCTTTACATAATATTATGTTTGTAAATAAAAAGAAGTTTGAATTTTGCATTTTACTCACTAAACAGTGTCAGAACCTTACTTAGCAGTGGAGCACCAAGTGGTGGAGGGTATGATAATTATATCATGTAGTGATGATTGAAATGCTTTTGGAACGGATTATGAATATTAACCGATTCCACAATTAATCATTATGATTAATCGTGGAAGTGAAAGTAAAAGTACACTATAGAAGGAAGATTGTAGTTTGCGAGGAATTCTTTCATCAAATGATATGAGGCGTTTGGTGTTTATGTGGTTGCACCGAAGTCGGCCTCTGCTCCATTATTGCAGCCACCTGTTCCAAGTTTGTCTCTCCATCTCCTCCTCCATGCTAGTGTGGTGGTGCGGTGGCTCTTGGACGTTCCCCATTTGCTCAAGGCTCTGAATTTTTTTTTTCAGGGATATTCTTGCACGAGCTTTAAGCCTCTGAGTGGCCAATTAAGTTACTCCTTTCTGTCTGTTGATGAGTATTTATGACTTGTATGTTGGCTTCAGTCAGATTATGTCCAATGCATTGCAACTTTTCCTGTGCTGTCAAATCTCGGTTGAAATCTTATTTTGTTTGTAACTACTGTATACTGTGTTGTTTGTAACTATACTGTCCAGTGGTTTGTCAGACATTTTCTTACAATGCAGACATTTCTTATACAGTATTCTTCTGAAATCAAGCCTTTTACTCGTGCACATGGGTATCTAAACCCGATGTGATGTAAGTGAATTTCTGTTTTGCTGGTGCACCCTTTCATCAGAATAAGTTGGTTGTAGTCGGTTGAATTCTTTCACCAGTCTGTAGATCCTGATGTTACATCTGCTGCATTATGGTCACTGTACATCTGCATTGCTCTATCTCTAATTTTCCCTCTCAATCTGTGCTAGATTGTGGAATGCATCTTCATTCCCCCTGCTTGAATGCAAATATTACAGCTTCACCTGCAACGTCATTCACTGGTATTCATACATGATTTGGCACAGAGTTGATAAGCATTAGGCATCCTTGGTGTTTGAATGTTTGCTTTAATGCTATAATACTTGTGGTCAGATAGGTGTTGTCATTTAAGTGTTCTTGTGCAGATGAAAAGTCACAATAACGTGGCTGAAAAATGTTGAGCAAATCACACACTAGAAATTAAAGAGACGACATCATTTCAGTCTTGGACCATTATTAAGTGTTCTTGTTTCAAGGTTTCTATGCCAGTTCTAGAATCTATGTATTATAATGTGTTGGTGTTCAGAAAAGCCTTCCAGAGCCTTTCGAGTAACTAGCATCTCTGTAAAGTTGCGCATCCATTTGAGAATCTCCACCTGACAACAGAATTTCCTGTCTTAAATGCAGCTTCAGATTCTTGTCTTTACTGGTCTACTGATTCATATGTGAAATATATGAAACTGTCAGATACCATATTTGCCTCTATATTCATTTGCAATGATGTGTAACAGGTAGGTAGTCTGATCCTTTTTTTTTCCTTGTAGTCATAATCTTGATGATGGTAATGATTCCCAAGGGGCTTGGATAACAAAGTCTGCATGTATTTCATCACATTTCTCAATCACTGTATTTGTGATATCAAAAGTATTGATAGTGTTTATTGCACAGCTGGTCCACCTGTTGCTATTGGAAACTCTTCTGTCTCGAGTTGGTGCTGACCAGACCACACACTAGAAGGTGAAGGGACAACGACGTTTTGGTCTGTACTGGACCATTCTCAAGTTGATTGTTTCGGTCCAGGACGGACCGAAACGTCGTCCCTTCACCTTCTAGTGTGTGGTCTGGTCAACATACTTTAGCCACGTTATTGTGACTCATCGCCTGCATATGGATACCGAGTGGGTGCTCCATTGATTATACAATATCGTTAAATGAACTGTTTCTTGGTCTAGTCAGTATTTTGGTCACCATGCATGCCACAAGCCCTTTTATCCTTATTTCAAGCGATGTTAGTTTGGTTTCCAGTGTTTGGTATTTTATCCCACATGGGAGGCCCTGTTATGACTGGCATTGCATTATTTTGAACAACCTCAACCTTTGCCCACTGGCCAGGAAAAAATCAGGCAGATGCTGCATAATCAACTTGCGGAACAAACGGTGTGTATTTAAAATATTCTTAACACAGTTTTTTTTTGCACTTTCAGATGGAGACCTGTGATTGCTCTCATTATATTCAGTTGAGATTTTGCTGTGCTTGTCGGGAGTGTTGCCACCTCATCTCATTGCCTTAGATTTTTGTGCAGATATTTTTAGCCCTAAAATGCAGCATTCAGTTGTTACTTTATCTAGCACCTTCAGTACTTTATTCAAAACTGAAGCCCTGTAATGACTAATGCTAAACCATCAGCATAGCCTAGCAAATTAACAACTGTAATTATCATGAAAACAAGGTTATCCCTGAGGGTGTTAAAAAGACTAGGGCAAAGAACTCATTGTATTCACCTAGTTGTGTTTTGCGGGGGTTGAGCTTTGCTCTTTCGGCCCACCTCTCAACTGTCAATCAACTGTTTACTAACTACTATTTTGTTTTCCACACCACACACACACACACCCACACCCCAGGAAGCAGCCCGTGACAGCTGACTAACTCCCAGGTACCTATTTACTGCTAGGTAACAGGGGCATTCAGGGTGAGAGAAACTTTACCCATTTGTTTCTGCCTCGTGCGGGAATCGAACCCGCGCCACAGAATTACGAGTCCTGCGCGCTATCCACCAGGCTATGAGGGCCCCTGTGGAGGCCCATTATCATGCTACAAGTAGTCTGACACTTGACCTTGCAGTTTTACTCTGCCGTTACCTGTGTCTGAGGTAGTCTTGAATCCAGGCTAATAGTTTCCCCTAAAATCTATTTTTATTAACGCAAAAAAAGTGCTTGCGGGGTTGCAGTTTCGAATATTTATACAAATATTGCCGTTGTCAGAGACAGGAAACCTATACTTAAGCTACTATCAAGGTCCCTCCTTAGGTCAAACTACTGACCTTTCCGAGGCTGCAACCCGCTACAGTTGCCCAACTCCCAGGGCCTTATTTACTGCAAGACAGAGGCAACAGGTAAAGGGACACACATGCTCAACCACATCTGTGCAGCCCGGCGATAGGATCCGGGATCATCAATAGTAGGTCGAGAACGTAGACCACTGTACTACAGAACCCTTCCATAGGACACCTTCTGCATGTCCTGACTCGATTTGTCTATTTCCATTAAAAACCAAGAATGAAGGGCACTTCTCTGGGAATTTTCACTTCAACCTTCAATTTTCAACCTTCAACCCTTCACTTCAATTGCAGACAACCCTAATCTGTTGTGTCTGCAATCTTTATGAACATATAAATAACCTTGTGTGATTTATGGAACATAATTGTTGGCATTCTCCATACCAATTTGGTTTTTGTAATTGTTGGACACAATGGTAGATTTGAAAGTTTTCAATTGTAACGTAGATGATTTGACGACATCCATACATACTAAATACTCTTTTTAGGTACTATGACAGAATTTATCAATTGTGGCCACGACAGGGGACAGGTGCTGATTGGATTCTTTTTAATTAGAGTTTGAATTGAATTAATATCCTGGCATTTACAGCTGTGTTCTGGTAGTTCCATGGGTTTGTAACCCTACTATTAGTACCAGAGTCTCTGTCTGTGTGTGTGTGTGTGCATGTGTGTACGCGCGCACATGTGTATTTACTATTTTTATTTAATATTTGTGTCTGCAGAATCTAGCTATTAAATCTTGGACCCCACTTTTCCAACCAACCTATTTTTCCACTATGTCTACACATATATTTCTCTAACACACACACACACATCCCAGGAAGCAGCCCTTTTATGTTTATGTTTTACTCTTTGTGCCTGCAGGATCTAGCCATTAGCTCTGGGACCTTATCTTTCTAACCGTTGGTTGTCGAATGTACCGACTCCTGACATATAAATATATTTTCTTTATCATATCTACTACATATTTCTTATCACACATGCACGTGCACACGCTGGAATATGCAGCAGTTATATAGCGCTCATATCTCAAAAAGCACATCAATAAACTTGAAAAAGGTGCAAAGGCATGCTACAAAATGGCTTCAAGAACTGAAAAACAAAGTTACGAGGAGAGGCTAGAGGAGTTAAATATGCCAAAACTAGAAGATTGAAAGAAAAGCGGCAATATGATCACCACTTACAAAATAATAGCAGGAATCTACCAAATTGACAAAGAGGAATGCCTGAAACTGGCAGCCTCGAAAACAAGAGGTCATAGATTCAAGCTAAAGAAACAAAAGTGCCGAGACAATACTTGAACGTTTTCTTTTGCAGAGTGGTAGATGGTACTGTAGCAAATTCTTCCTAACCTTGCCACTGGTGCCTGGTTAGGTATTACCTTTCTTAGTTCATAAACTTCTCCTTGCTCTATTATGAAGACCTGGAATTTCTTATCGAGTTCCTCGCACTCTTCCTTGTCAGTTGTAGTAAACCTGTCTGCCTCTATCCTCAGATTCATTACCTGTTCCTTCACCCTTCCTTTCCTTCTGATGTGGCTGTGCAGCAATTTGGGCTGAGTCTTTGCTTTATTTACTATGTCATTTTCGTACTGTCTTTCTGCCTCAGGAAGTCATCTGTATTTTTCCAGGGGCATAGGAGTGTAACAAGAGACTTTGAACTAGGTACCCCGCAGGGAGGTGTCCTCAATCCTACCTTATTTAAAATCTTAATAAACACGCTGTTAAACTCTATACCGAGCAAACCCAACGTCCACATCATTAGCTATGCTGATGATATAATGATACACACCACTGGGTATGCTAACACGCAGAACACTCTTAACTCTGTATTAGACTCATGTCAGGACTTAGGTTTAATTATCTCAGCAGAGAAAACAAAGATACTAAATCGGCGCCCACCCAGGCAGGGAGGAGCTGTTCGCAAGATGCAACTGTCTGATAGCTCCCAGCTTGACTATGTAAACAGATTCAAATACCTTGGCCTTGAGGTGCCACTGTACGGTCCTGTTGTATTC